ATAGCAAGTATTCTGAGGAAGGGCAAGAAGGCCAGTAAAACAGAATCACACTTATTAACCACAGAAGAAACAAAGTAAATGGGGCAATAGAAACAGCTGAGATAAAAAAAAAAAAAAAAAAAAAAAAAAAAAAAAAAATCTGTAGAGGGGAGGGTTAGTTTACCCACGATCAGCATATTTTTCATGCTTTGGCTATTTGCATGTCTTAGGTGATCTGTGCTGGGTGTATAGCAGGTCTGGCCATTGACAAACTGCTTCTGGATTTAGGAAACCTTAATTTGCTCTTAGTCGCAGCCCCTGAGATGATTGGAATTTCCAAATTGAGGGCCAACACAAAATAGAAAAGAACTAAAGAGGATCCCTGGTGTTTTATAGTGACAGCCAGTATAATGTTGAGGCATCCCTGTTTGCCAGGCATTGTGATACATTATCTGAATTCATTTTCTCACCTAGTCCTTACAAGATCCCTGGAAGGCTGGTTATTGTTATTCCTATGTCAGGAAGGAGGAAACAGTTGTAGGAGGCTAGGTAATAGGTCCAGGTTCACACAACCATAGGTGGCAGCCAGCACCTGAATCTGGAGGTCTGACTCTTGGCAATTTACTCCGGAAATCCGGTCTCTCTGTGTCTCCCTTCACCAACCCAAGTACATGCCCAGCCTTGAACCTCAGCTGGAGTTTCTTTCCTTTTGTTCCCTGGAGAAAGCAGATGGGAGAGGATTGGATTGTTTTGAGGCTGAGATCTCTTCAAGCTTGTGCTGGAAATGCAGTTGACCGTTCCTTGCTGGCTTCCCTGGAATCCCCATGCCAGCACTGTGGTAGATCAGGGTGACTTTCCCTGGGAGCCTGGGTCCCTGCTTCCAGGAACTGACATCCTTTTGTTGTTGATTTTAGCATCCACTCACAGCTGAACTCAAGGTCAAGGCTGAAGGACAAGAGCTGATCCTGGACCTGGAGAAAAATGAGTAAGTGAATTTCTCTCTCCTTTTGTCTGAAACAAAACAATGAACTTGTGTTTGATGCTGGCCGGACGCAGGTGTAGCTGTTGGGAAGGAAGCAGTTATTGCAGTGGCTCCCAGGAGCTCGGTTCGTGGTCCCTCTGTGGGAGCATCTTGCTAACACAGCTTTTCCTTGGTCTCTTGACTTGCTAAGTGATTGCTGGATGGCTTCACATCCTGATGGAATTTCCTTAGGCTGTGTTTCCGGTGCTTCTTGGAGTTCACTGTGTGTGTGTGTGTGTGTGTGTGTGTGTGTGTGATTGGGGAAGAGACTGGAAGCAGCTGCTTTACTAGCTCCAGTTCAGTGCATGGCAGGAAGTGACGATTAGAGCGAGAGAGAGTAGGGAGAGGCAAGGCAGGCTGTGCAGGGATTTAGCACCTCTGACCCTGACTTTCATCTGCCTAAGATTCTGCCAAGAAGAGCATTACCCGAAGCCTCCTGGCTTCCCTGGGTTCAGTTTTTCCATCTTCCTAACTTCATTCATACAGTGGCCTAGTTCAGAAATATCTCAACATTGATTGATTTCTGCCTTAAGGGATGAATAGATAACAGCGCCTGTCTGTGTCAATTGATTATCAGTCCTTTGGCCATTCTCTGTCTGCCTGGCCTCCCAAGAGTGCTTCTTACTTGGCTGAGGACTCTGAAGGCCTTTATAATTTCCCCACTTTCATCCTACATCGACAACGTAGATAAGGATGCTTGGTTTGGAGAGCCTCCTCTCTGTTCTGGGCAGCCTCCAGAACCCCCTGGAAGCTGCCGAGTAATGAGTAATGCCAAGAAAGGGCTGAGCAGAGCCTTCCCCATCCAAAGGGGTGGGAATGGCTACTTGGATTGGTAGAAAAGGAGAATAACGGTTTATTCCAAATTTGGGCTCTTTAGACACTCGCACAGGAGGATGAGTGAGTCCCCAGTGTGGTGAAAAGGGCACGCAGAAGCCTGTCTCTTCCCTCTGCCTCTGGGGCATGGTAGCCATTAGCAAGCCAGAAAGCTGAGCATCATGACTACCTTGGCTCCTTTCCTCCAGAGTAAATCCAGCCTTTTACCACTTTGCTGGAATGTTCTTTCCCTTCTATTCCCTGGAACAGGCCTGGCTCACTGGGTCTCCAGAGTGGAAAGACCCTCCTTGCTGAGGGGTTCTCTCTGGTTCCTTGATCTGGTCCTACAGGGAAAGACCCCAGGAAAAATTGGCCTCTCCCAGGGACTTCTTTTGGTGTCTTGCTGGCCATGTGGATTAGCTGTTTCAAAGTTCCTTATTACACCTTTCATCTGCCTTTACCTTTAAACATCTTCCAGCCAGTCCGGCTGATGGTATTGTCAGGGGCAGATTCTTAGGAGCTGGAGCAACTAAGCAGGATTCCAGGCCTCGGGTTGCTGTCCTGTCCTCCTGTGTTGGAACCTTCACAGAAGAGCTTAGGAGGTTAGGACAAGAATACATCTTGGGGAACACTGAATGCAGTGATCTCTTGGGGTGTGTGGGAGGGGGTACCTTGTCTAAGGGCACTCAGAGAATGCACAAGGAGGATGAGGTGGAAATCGTTTCTATTCTTGGCTTGGATCTGGAGTTGCAGCATGTGACCCAGGGCAAGTTGCTAAAACTTTTGCAGCTTCTTTGGGCTCTTCTGTAAGATGAGGATAGGAGTATCCACGTAATGAGGGTATGAGGAATGAGTGGATGTGAGATGAGGAGTGCCCACCTAATGGGGGTGTGAGGAATGACTGGACTGGCCAATGTGATTTTAAATTACTGTTTGTGTGTGTGTGTGTGTGTGTGTGTGTGTGTGTGGTGGGGGTGTTTATGTATGTGGGTGTACACGTGTGCAGGTGCACATGTGCATGTGTGTGTGTGGGTCAGAGGACAATCTCGGGAATGCTGCCTGCTTTACTTTGAAGCGAAGTCTTTCATTGGCTTGGAGCTCACCCACTTGCCTAGGCTGGCTGGCTGGCCCTCCAGACCCAGAGATCTGCTTGTCTCTGACTCCCCAACTCTGGGATTCCAAGTGCTCACTACCATGTCTGGCTTTTTTATATGCACTCTCATATCTAAACTTGGGTCTTCCTGCTTATAAGGGAAGTTCTTCTCAAGATCCTGTTGTGATTTTTAATGGATTCACTGAAGGGCCAGGGATTGCTCAAGGATGTGATCTATTGTGCCTGACCAGCAACTTTCAGCCCTGTGGGGCTGCCTTTCCTGACCTCCTTGAGGTGACAGAAGGCAGGAGATCTTACAAAATGGAAGCAAGGAGCCACTCAGCATGACCTCACCGGGTGTCCCTGGGGAGCTGCTTCCTGCCATTTTCATCTAAACTAGGCTTTTTGTTTTTCAGCATGTGTTAGTGAACAGAACTCCAACTGCACACGACTTCCTGGCGTGTTTATTTCCCCAAACCCTCTCATTCATGCTGCCTGCAAGCCTGGATTCAAAACAGCTCTGGAGGGCAGGAGTGCTTTTTTTCTGAGTTTTCAACTTACTGTGTTAACATTCCTATAATCCCGTGACATCTGGGGGAAACTAGACCCTGGGCTCCAAGCTTTCTGAGCCTCAGCTTCTTCATCCTCTTGGTTGATCCCTTCACTGTTCTCATCTGTTCAGCACCTGTGAGGTTCTGTGTACCAGTATAGGTACCAGGGGGAGGGGGAGTCGAGCTGTGGGAATACGGTTCTGCCAGTGTGGAGCTCTTCAGTGGAAGGAAAACAGTAAGCAAACAATAAGTGCACAGTGCACCGGATGACAACAACTGTATACAGGAAGCAGAGCACTGCGCTCTCAGGGAGAGCAGGGGATGGGAGGAGCTGCTGTTTATGAATGGTGGTCAGGAAGGACCTTGGGGAATTAATAATCGAGTAGAAACTTGAAGGAGAAGACATATAGACAGGGAGATAGTTCCAAGGAGACAGAACTGCCAAGTTCAAGTTCAGATGTCCTATAGATCATGATTTCTCCATTCATTGGATTCCCAAGCCTCCTGGTAGCCATGAGTGGCAAGAGCTTCTGGGAATCTGGGGGAAGGGGGAATTTTTTTTTTTCATCATCCTGAGGTGTCTGGCCTTCTCGCATCAAATCAAAGCCCTGGTGCTAACACGCAACCCAGAATAGCAGCAAGCAGGCCTTTAATGGAATGCACACATGGAGAGGTTATTGCTAAGAATGGCCAGGACTGAGGAGCAGGAGGATGAGCCAGGAGGAGGGATGTGGCAGGCGGAACTTCAGCACCGGCAGCAGAGATTTAGTGGCACGACAACTCAGGATAAGCTATATCATAAGTCCTTATCTGTTGAGTGCTGGCAAAAAAGAAATGACCTATTTGAGATAATGAGGGCTTGGCTTTGTGCTGGGTCTTGCGTTCAGATGCTGGCTCTCCCACTTAGCAGCTGCAGGCCCTCTTTAAGCCCCAACCCCCTGCTCCCGGGGATAATCATAAAACTATGTCGCCGAGATGCTGGGGTGCACATCAAGGGCCTGATTCGATGCCTAGCTTGTACTCTGTGCTCAGTAAGTGGCATCTATTATTTTTTGCTCACTCATTGTAAATTGCACAAGCAGTGCTTGTTCACTGTAAAACGTAGCAATGCCAAGTAAAGTGGTGAAGTTTCCCACCCACAAGGAGAGCTCTCTGTTGACTGGTGGGCACATGCTGGGTCTTTCCTGTGCTGGAGAGCATGCATGCAGGAACTCTGAAGTGCTGTCAGCTCTTACAGGGACTCCTAGTGTAGCTGGGGAGAGAAGCAGAAAGGAGATTTTACCAGACATACTGTTGCGCAACGTACTCTTTTAGGTGCGGTTGGATGTCATGAACACTGCTACTGTTTCAGAAGCGTATTTTCGTGCTGTTTATTCTAGCCCCTAGCATTTATACACAGATACAAGCATATGCATTATCTGTGAAGGCTATCTTAGGAGACAGTAAAGGCACTGGGTCCGATGGACATAGCACTGAGTTCAAAAAGATGTGGAATTGATCGACATGTCAACCCCACCCGCCCTTCTGGGCTTAACTTAATCTTCTGTAAAATGAGGCTTCTGTTTCACTTGGGCCCAAGGACTCTTCCTGTATTACCTGTTTAAAGGACACTGTGGGAGTGGAAAATAGAGAAGTTCCTGCCTCAAGAAGCTTGCCCCCATTGTGGCGACCCCCCCCCCAAACAATGGGCAATGGGATGATGGGAATCCCTGCCTCAAACCATAGGTCCTTGAAGTTGGGGTGAACTGTTAACTTAGAACTCACCAGTTCAAGTGACAGAAAGTACAGGAGGGAAATTACAGGGCAGAAATTACAGGCTGCTATTCACAACCCACAATTTTGTGGCATAAGTCCATAATATTTTTTCTCGGTGACTTTCCCTCTGTTCTGAGGACTGCCATTAACCCAGGGACCATGTCTGGCAAACCTCGTGTGCTGCATGATTAGACAGACCCTTTCTGGGCTGAAGGCGTATGGGAATGAACATCTTTCTAGGGAGCTGTGGGTCCCAGCCCTCTTCCCTCGCCTGCCTTCATTTTTTCCCTAAAGGGAAGGGCAGACTGATGGACTCAACCTGCTTCCAAGACTGAAATTCTGAAGCAGATGACAAAATCATGGCATTACAAGGTCACCTTCAAAAACCCCTGAGGACTGGGGATATAGTTCAGATGACTGAGTGCTTGCTTAGTGTGCATTAGAGCCCTGGATTGGATTCTTAACACTGTTATCAACTGGCCATAGTGAGGCACGCCTGTAGTCACAGCACTCCAGAGGGGAAGCAGGAGGATCAGAAATTCAAGGTCATGCTTGACTACACTGAGTTTGAGGCTAGTCTGGGCTACTTGAGATCTCATCTCAAAAACAGAAACAAACCCCCCAAATAAAAGTAAATGAGTAACACGTATAGGGAGGCCCTTTGTTCTCATGGCTGGTTCCTAAGCACATCCTGGGACTCCTCTCCTTTGAGAATACTGTCCTTCCTTGAATCCAAACCATAATGAGATTTG